AATATCAAAGAAAATAAGAATCAAATTTATGATAGATGGAGCAAAATGAATATCATATCTTCATTCAAATTGAATATTACATCGAGATATTAAACCAGATAATTTCCATATTGTAACACTTGATGATAACATTGAAGTAATTGTAAATTAACATATTTTGGAAGTGCAAGAAACATCAATATGATGATGACAAATATGACATTTACAAAAGGGATAGAAACACCAAAATACATGGCACCAGAAGTATTAAATCGTCAACATTATAAAATGCGATCAGATATATATTCATTTTCAATAACAATGTTACAAATCATTACATGGCAAGATCCATTTCCTAAAACATTATATCCACATCCATGGGATATTGCAGATACAATCACAACAGGTAAACGAACAAATATAATAAAAGAAGTTCAAGAAGATATTAAAGAAATTATTGAAAAGTCATGGCAACAAGAATTAAACAAAAGATTAATAACAATAAATGAAATTGTAAGAATGTTAGAGAGAATTGAAAATACATAAAATTTAATAAATAAAATTCTTATAATGAATGAAATTTTATATTAATTAGTTTATTATTGATGTTATTTATTTTTAATATATTGAAAATCTAATTAGAATTGTTGATTATCATTTTGTATATTCTTATTATTTATTCTTTTTACAATATTCATTTGTCTTTTATATTTAAATCATCACAGTTATTTGAAAGAATTTATTAAATTTGTTAATATAGTTAAAATCGTATTTATGTTTTAAATGTTTAAAGTAAATAACAATATGTTGTGTATTATTTTTATCATTTTAATAATTAGTATTATTGTTAATTAACATTTTATGAATAAATATATGAATTTTGTTGAATTGAAATTCTTTATAATTTCAAATTAACAATAATACCAATAAATATTACAATAGATTCAATTTAGTAATATAAATATAATTCAAATGAATTAAACAAAGAGATTTTGAAGTATTATAATCAATTTTAATCAACAATAAATAATGATGTTGATATTTCAATTATTACAAACAAAAATGATATTAAATTATAAAACATTAATTAATTAAATTGAATCAATTTCTATGAATAAAATAATCACAACATAATAAATAATAAAGAAATTAATAATAGAATAAAGAATAAAGAAATAATACTATTGAAAAAAAGAGAAAATGAAATAATGAATATTATGACATAATAAATAATATAATATGAATTATAATTATAAAAATAGTTAAAAATATTGAATTAAATTAAAAACTATTTATTAATAATATTTAAATTAAGTAATTCTAATTTCTTATTTTTTTATTAATTTAATAAAAATTGGTATTTTTTAATTTATAAAATAAAATTATAATAATATTAGTAAGTATTATAATTTTTAACAATATTTTATTTTTTGTTGTAGGTAACAAATAAACATAGTTTATTTTGATTGTCTATTTATGATGTGATAAACAATAAATGCTATTAAAAAGTCATTTGAATGAAGACAACTACTCTTTCTTTTTTATTGAATAAAAAGGATGTAGTGCCTTTCTATTTATATACAGCTATTGTTTTTCAAAATAGAAATAATCTAAATATACATTTTAATTACCTTTTTACAGATAAAATAATACAGTTATTATAATTAATTGGAGTGACGTTTATTTTAATGTTGTTGGTTAGCATTTATTTTGTATAACAACAACGTATTTGTTCAAGACATTGTTATGTTATAGTTTAAGTAGTTTTTCGTAATAACCAAAACAAGACATTAGGAATAAATAATTCATTAATTTACTATAATATCTATTGTATTTTAAACTTTTTTAAGAATAATAATAACTAACAACGAATTATTAATGTTTTAAAATAAAAAGCAATAAAATTATTGTAACAACTTTATACATTAAATAATTAATAATTGTAAGATAAACAAATAATATTATCACATGAATTGGATTGTATTTTGTATTTACTTAAAAATTAAATCAAAAAGTACAGAATAATTATTATAATATTTCTTGAAATACAATAAACCACAACTATATTTTAAAATAATAGAATAATAGAAATTAATATAATTTAAATGAAAATCAATGTGTTGTTAAAGTCCTATTAATTTTATTTGAAATAATACATAAATGTATAAACAGTTCAAAGAAATAAAAAATAAGTTGATGAACAAATAATAAAAAGATGAATAAAAACTTATTAAGAACAAATTATTAATAATACTAAATTTAAATGATGTATTAAATATTCTAATGAAAGATTTTAATGAAATATAAAACGATGTTTATATCTTTCATTACAAAAGAAAACAAAAATATGATTTTGGTTGAATAAAATGAATTTATTGAATTTGAATGAAAAATTTATTTGTATGATAACTCTTATAAAAGACTTGCTTGCTTAAAGGAGTTTTGAATAAAGTCTTCAGGGTGACTACTTGATGGAATAACTTCATTTAATTCAGAACTAAATTGTTCTTGGTCATTTTGAATCATTTGGAAAGTATTTTCTTCAGCTTGACATGGACATGATATAATAGACTGTGGATAAATATATTTCAATTCTTCATTGTTTTTATCATACTCCACATCTTCACTAACAGATAAAGTATTAATTTCAGGTATATTAATTATGGAATTATTGGAATGAAGAATGTCTCGAGATAAAGTTGCTAATGATATTATAATATGTTTATTCTTATTGTTTTTATCAACAAAGTATTTCAACACCTTTTGCATCCAATCACCAAAATAATCTCTAATAAATTTTCTATCATATATTTTACCATTAACCTCGATTCCATCAATATAAAGATTACTTTCTTTTTCTTTTCTTATAGATCGTGATTTTCCATTCTTATATATAATTTTAATACCATCTCTTTCACTTCTCTGGCAAACCCACTTAATAATATTATTATTCATAATATCATGTAAGTCTTTTCTTTTTGTTCTTGGTATATCTCTTGGAATAATTACATTTTTATTAAGAAGTTCATTGATATCAGTCATAACCTTTTGAGTAAAATCATCGACATTCCAACATTTTCCTTCAACGTTTACACAGATAACATCAAGTTGATTTCTTTTATCAATATATTTTTTTCTTTTTGGATATGAAATCACAACATTTCCACCTATTAAAATGATATATTGTATTAAAAGTCCCCATTGTCCAAAGATATATTCTTGGTGACTTCTTTTTAATTCAACAGCTGTCTTTTTTTCCATCTTTAGTGGTTTCCCCTTTGTCTAGATATTTAGTTCTTTTGTTTCTTTTAATGTTGGAGAAATACAATGAGACACGTGACATAAAGCCAAATATTTTTTTAAAACACTAATTTCTTTCCTTTTAAAATCAAAAAGGAACATCCTTTTTTACATCAAAGCGATAATGCATTTATTTTACTCTTTTTATCGAGTTAAACCTAACATAACTTGAATGTAATTGTTCTTAACGTCATTTTATAACGTAACCATCAAAAAAAATAAAATTCATTTGTAGTATCAAATTTTAACTATTTATATTTTATAGTAATTAAATAATAATTAGAGTGGTATATTTTTATCAAAACAAACAAAATATATGGATGATTGAGTCATAGTGATTTTAACAATTATTTACTTCAACATTTCTCATTTGAATCTTGTTTTTATCAACAAGAAATGATTCAGTAATTTTACTTTTGTGACTTTAAAATTCCTCTTTATTCAATTTTTAACCATCCACATTATGCATGAACTAAAACCTACATACATCTACACTATTTTTATTTTTTTTTTGTAGGAGGAATGAATAGATGAAATTATTGAATGAAAGAAACAAATTCATCCTCTTATTAGACTAAGAATGACTTATACATTAATAACAACAACCTCTTTTAAAAAAAAAAAGAATTAATCACTAACTCAATACACAATAAGCACTTCATTTTAATGGACTTTACAGAGATAAAATGATAATGAAATAATAAAAAGAAAAGAAAGAACGAAGAAATTCTTCGAATAGTTCTACAAAGAAAAAGAACTTAATAATTAAATTCTTTCAATGGAAGTTATTGACGATTATATTAATCCCAAATCAACAACCATCCATCCATTTTTAAAGGTTATTCAAAAACCAACACTTCGGAAGTCAGTATTAACATTATGTGTAATTATTTTTTTACTGAGTGGGACATTAACAATTACTTTAAGTAAATTATTATACAATACAACAACCAAAGGTAGATATGAAAAAGAACATCAATTTGAACATCCAATGTTTTTAACATTTATGATGTTTGTTGGGATGATGTTATGTTTATTTATTCATATAATTATGACATTAATAATACCTGAAGATGACAAAAAGAATTATATTCAAATTAATAAAAGATCTCCTTTTCGGGGTGAAGTATTATTTGCATTAATTGGACCAGCATTATGTGATTTTTTAGGAGGATATTTAATGAACGTAGGATTAATGTATGTAACGTCAAGTGTATTTCAAATGATGCGAGGGAGTGTTATTATCTTTACTGCTTTACTTACAGTGTTTGTTAGAAAAAGTCAATTAAAAAATAATCAAATTTTTGCTATATTTCTTGTTATTATTGCATTAGCTGTTGTTGGAGGATCTGCATTTGCAGGAAATTCAAGTGTTATAAAAGGAGAATCAAAGGTTTGGGATGTTGTAATTGGAATTTCATTTATTACAAGTGCTATGTTTCTTCAAGCATTACAAACTATTATGGAAGAAAAGTATTTACAAGACCTTCAAATACCACCATTAGTTGTTGTTGGATTAGAAGGGTTTTATGGTATTTTATTATCAATACCAGGAATGATAGTATTACAAATGGTTCCAATACCATTTTATGATGATAATATTGATGCAATAATTAGTTTAAGAGAAAAACATGTTTTAATAGTTGTTATTATTTATGCATTTTCTGTTACTTTATTTAATATTACAGGAATGATTATTACAAGAAGTTTAACTGCAATGGTTAGAAATATCTTAGATCCTTGTAGAATGATTTCTATATGGTTTTTATCAGTTTTAATGTATTATATCTTTAATAAAAAATATGGAGAACCTTTAGGATGGCAAACAGCACTTCAAGTTTTGGGATTTTTATTATTAACATTTGGATTATTTATTTATACAGGAGTAATAAAATTAAATTTCTTTGGAACAGAAAATATTGAACAAAACGAAAATATTGTTTTAGATGAAAAATCTGAAGATAATGATCATGATTTATTTGAATGATTTTTTTTTGTACTCTTTATTTTCTTCTTTAATTCATTCTTTTTGTTAAATCAATCTCTCATTTGATGTATTTTTTTTTTATATGTTTTTTATACTTCTTTGATATTAAATGCTTTTATTATAGTTTTTATTATTTCTTTTTAAAAAACAAAAATAAAATAAAAACAAAATTTTAAGAAAAAAAAAAAAGAAAAATAACCCTTTCACTAGTTCTTTGTTATTTTATGGAACAGACCCTTCAGAGTGTCATAAGCAATTTGTTAGATGACGAAGAAGATGAAGGGAAGAAAACAACTGACATCCAAAAAATGATTAAAACAGATATGAATTGTATAAGAAATGATAGAAAAGAAACATCACCAATCGGATTAAATAATGATTATAGTGCTGAAGGATATGAACCTTTTTTACAAAAATATTTTAGAACAGAAACAGAACAAAGTAATAATAATAATTCAACATTTAATCATTCATCAAATCCACCTTCTATTCCATCTACACCAACAAAACATTTTCATCAAATTTTATTTAATGAAGATTATTTAAGATTATCACAAGATCAAACAGGAAGTAGAACTGTTCAACATAAAATAGAAACATCAACAACAGAACGAGATATAATTTTTGATTCAATAGAAAAAGAAGCAGTAACACTTTCTAAAGATGTTTTTGCTAATTATGTTATTCAAAAATTATTTGAATTTGGTGTATTTTGGCAAAAAAGTCAATTAATTAAACGATTAACAGGATCATTTGTTGAATTATCATTACATATGTATGGATGTAGAGTAGTACAAAAAGCAATAGAATTTGTAGATGATATTGATAAAAGAATCATTTTTAATGAAATAGAAGATAATATTATTGCATGTATTCAAGACCAAAATGGAAATCATGTAATTCAAAAGTGTGTTGAGAAAGGAGACTTAAAAATTATTGATTCAATTATTTTTGCATTTAAAGGAAGAGTATTAGCATTTTCACAACATCCATATGGATGTAGAGTAATTCAACGTATTTTAGAAAAAATACCACCTGAAAAAAGTTATCCATTGTTAGAAGAAATTCTTCCTAATACACTTGAATTATCTAAAGATCAATATGGTAATTATGTTATTCAATATATTGTTGAAAAATGTCCATCTGAAAGAAATAAAATTAGAAAAGCATTACAAGGAAATATTGCATTATTATCTATGCAAAAATATTCTTCTAATGTCATTGAAAAATGTTTTATGTGTGCTAATCTTAAAGGAAGACAAGAAATTTTAAAAGAAATTTATGGAGTTAAAAAAGATGGTGCTCCTTTATTAATGATGATGAGAGATCAATATGCCAATTATGTAGTTCAAAAAATAATAGAAAATGTTAGTGATGAAGATCGTGAATTTATGGTAAATAATGTGGTTTTACCACAAATTAATTCTTTAAGAAAAGTACCTTATGCTAAACACATATTGGTTTTATTACAAAATTATGGTGTTGATGTGTAATTGTGCATTTTTTGTTTTAGTTTGACATTAATATTTTTTTATTAACTTTTTTACTACTTTTTATTATTATTTCTTTTATTCTTATTATGTCATATTTTATATCTGAACTTTAAAATATTAATCAATATGGAAATGTTTGTTAAACATAATGAGTACTAAAAATTATTTACCACTTATTCTTTAGTATTCTTCAATTAAAAAATCAATTAGATAATTTATCAATTATTGAAAAAAGTCTTAATGAACAAAATGAAAAAATTAATGAAATTGATGGAATTGTTAATGGAATTGACTCAAAGTCAAATGAATTATTTATTCAATGTAATGAAATTTTAAAAAAGAAAAATAAAGAAGAAGAAATATTAAAGAAAGTAGAAAAAGAAATACGATATTATGAAGCGTTTGATAGATTATCATTACTTATTAATAATCCAAAAACAATAAATTTTTATTCAAGTCAATTTAAAGAATGTTATATTGAAATAAATGAATGTATTGAATATTTTTATAATAAAGTTTGTTATATTAAATAAATAATAAATGAATAATAATTTATTTAATAGAAAAATGATGTAGAATGTTATACATATTTATTAAAATATCAACAATTAAAAAGTAAAATATTAAATTATTTATCAATCTTTATTAAAAAACAAATTGATGATTTACATCAAGAATGTAGTACAATTCCAGTATTACCATTAAACCAATTTACAAAAAGTGTATTATATAAATCTCAAATAACAACAGAATTTAAAGAATTAATAAAAATATTAGAAATAAAAAAGGGAATATTAGAATCATCATATCTTGATGAATGTATTAAACATTATCTTAATATCAGAAAAAATTTATTAATGCCATATATATCAAAATTATTAATTACACTTCAACAAATTAATCCATTTATTTGTGACGTTACAAGAGAAGCTGGTATTTATTTATTTATCATTTTTTATAAAGAAGGTAAATTATTTAGAACATTATTTAATCAAGATTGTCAAGCATTAAAAATTATGTTTTCTTCACTTTTTGATATTTATTCTTCATTCATTTCTACATTATGTTATAAATGTCATGATATTGGAATATTGTGTAATGCAATTACTTATCTTAAAGATGAACAAATTCTTTATCGTTTACCTCACTCAAAATTAATACAATTACCTGAATATTCCATTTTTAATTTTTGTGTTAATGAATTAGTTACTAATATCTCAGAACGTTTGGTTTATTTATCATTAAATTTAATTAATAACTTAATTGCTTCATTTCATCCTTCAAAAAATGATTTAAATTATCCTGCTATTTTCTCTAATTCAAATGTTCAAGACCTTCCTTTTAAATTAGTTCTTTATCCTCCAACTACAAATACTCTTACTTTATTATCTAAACTTCATTTCTCTTTATCAAATGAATTGTTTAGTCAACTCGCAAATACAGCTATTAATGCTTGTGTTGATTCAATTCTTCATGCCATACCTCAAATTCCTTCAAATAATGAACTTGATGGTAAATTATTTGCATTAAGAAATTTATGTATTTTAAGAGACCAAATTATTCCTTTCACTGAAGTAGATACTTCTTTAAGAAAAGTTGAATCAAAAGTTCAAGAACTTTGTGGTGAAATATGTAATTATTTCCTTAAAACATTTTGTCCTTCTGGTCTTCAAGTATTACGTGATTTTGTTTTTGATGATAAGTCTCAAAATGAAATTAAAGTGATTCAATCACAAATTATCGAAGAGTTAGTTCATAATTCTATTAATTCTAAAGAAGATTTAAATATTCTTCATGTCTATTTACACCAAGTTCATTTAAAAGAATTATTGGAAATACTTAAAGCAAGAATTGTATATTTTGCTCACAAATTAACTATTTTATTTAGAAACCAAGACTTTGAAAAAAGATTCTTAGAAGCTGCAAAACCAATTTTGAATTATTAATTCAATTCTTTTTATTAGAAATTCTTTGAAAAACAAATATCTTTTTTACCTTATTTTTTTGTTATTTGTATTATTCTATTTTATTTCTGTTTATTATCTATCTTGAAGAATAAGTTTGTGTTTATTCTTTTATTTATATTCATTTGTGCTTGTGTTCAGTTTTTATTGTTTGGTATCTTCTATTTAATCATTTTTATTCTCTTGTTTATTCTATTTTGTGTTTGTTACTTGTTTTTTATTTATTTCAAAACTTATGTTATATGTCAACACTATTACTTAAACATTTTGAAGTTATGATGTTATTTTCATCTAACTATCTTGTTAATACATTAATAATTATTCATTTTAAATGATATATATATAAAACAATAAAATATTCAAATATCAAAAAAATAATTGTTGAAACTCATGGATATTGTTTTGAAATAAAGTTGTAAATTACGCATATTAGTAATAAGAATACAACCAATTTATAATTACATTTATACATTCTTCTTGTACAAACATATAACAACATCAGAAACACTGTTATATTAAGAGAGTATAAAAACTTCTTCTACATATATAATTTAAACTATATCTTCTATGCTGATAGAACAAAAAAGAGAAATTAAATGTGTATCTAGATATAATTTTAAAAAAATATATGAAATTAAACATTGAAAATATTAAACGAACTAATTTAAAGAAAATAAAATTATTCAAGTAAATTATGTGTTAATGATATGTTAACAATAAGAAAGATTGAAATGAATTAAAATTTGTTTAACATTGACAACAAGTAAGAGAAAAAACAATTAAATATTATATTTATATTATTCATTATTTTGTTTAATCTCATCTCTATTATTTATTAGTTAAACTAGATGTTGGATTCATTCTTTTAATATTTATTTAATTTCATGATGCATTTTATTCTGTACCATTTTCTTCCCTTGACCAAATCTTCTAGTCTATTAATTTTCTTTAGGATTTCTTTTATTTCATCAAATTTGTCTCTTATTATTTTATTTTGGAGATAGAGGTGCATAACCATTGAAATCTTCTTCATATCAACTTGTAGTTCCTGCATTCTGATTCCTGATCATATCAATCTATTATTAATTTCCATTATTAATTCGTCAGCTTCTTTTCTTTGAAAGTATTAATTAATGTTTGAACATTTTCTATTTTCATTTCTTTTATTGATGAGAGTTTTAAGATATTCTTCATCAATTTCTGTAGAGTTATTCTTTAATATTATTTTTTATTATTGAATTACACTCTACTCTTCTATTATATCATTTACTTTCACTTTAATGTACAGTTTAATACTTTCTTTTATTTTATGTGACATTTTAATATATTTAATATATTCTTTTTCATTATTGACATTGATTTTTATTGCTTTTATTATACTTTCTATTTGCTCCTATCTTAATTTCTTATATAATTTCTTATTTAACCAATCAATTAAAAAACAATACATCACTTCAATTAATTTTCTATTTCTTTGGTTTGTTGTATTTCTTCTTGTATTTTTCTTATACTTTATTTGTTATTTATTATTCTTGCAATTTTACATGTTTCATTCATTTCTTTATTTGTATTTTGTTTTTAATTCCTTCTTCAACTGCTTTAATGTCTTTTTCATCAATGTCTTTTGTTCTTTCTTTAGACTCTTCTTTAGTTTTTCATTTATCTTCTTCATTTTGATTGAATATACTTCTTGTTGAATATTATACCATCTTTTCCTTTTACCTTCATATTTTTTAAGTATTTCTTCATAATCTCCTTCTTTCCATTCACTTGTTATTTTTTTTATTCTTTCTTGTATCTCATTTATTGTTAGCCATTTATATTTGTTATTGGTGTAATTATTATTATTATTATTGTATTTATCTTGTTTTTTATTTGTTTTCTTTCTTTTTCTAAAATCTTGGTATTTCTATTACAATTCATATTATTATTCATATTAATATTATTGGTATTCATTCTTTTACATATTGTTGAATTTCTATGTTTTGTTTGCTTTTCTTTACATTACACATTGTTAATACACAATAAACATTGAAATAACAATTGTTGTATTTCATATAATGGATTAGTATCTTTCCATGAATAAACATATTCATATAATAAAAATAATAGGAAAAAGAAAGAAAAGTTACATTTTATTTTACTCATAAAAAGTACAATTAATCAAAATATAATATAATAATCATAAATAAGAAAATAAATCATTTGTAGAGTGTTTAATGATATAATATTGAACTATGAATGAAAAATATGATTTTAATGAATTAATATAAAAAATAAAAAGATATTATAATGAAGTAGTTTAAATATTAATAAGAAATAATATTGAAATTAAATATGAAATAGTTAATATTTATAGTTTATTATTATAATTATTTATTATAAAATATTTATTATTTTATTTTTATTATTGTTTTATTTCATTGAAATTCTCTGAATTAACATTATTACAGAGTTATATTCATTACAATATCTTTCTTTTCATATTTCATTAATTTATTTATTATTTTGATCTTCATTAATATTAATGATATTTATACTATCTCTTTCATCATTTATTAACATCACAATATTTAAGTGTTTTATTTCAAATACATTTGTTTTAAAATTAATTAGAATTGTATTAATGATATTAATAACTTGAATTTTATGATGACTAATTGATGTATAACATTTAATTATATCATTCCATCTACTTTTAATTTTGATAAAATACAAATAATATTGTGAGATAATCATTGATATTAATTGATATGATAACATTCATTTAAATCAATTTACTTTCATTCAATTTAAACAGAAACTGAATGAGAAATATAATAATTAATATCAAATGAATAAGAAATTAGAAATAAATATATTTAATTTTATTCAGTAAATTAACTAATGATTGATACAATTCATCAACCAACCGATTAATAACAATAGTACATATTCAAATGATGGAATATGATAATTTAATATATTGTTATTGATTTGAAACTTTTAAAACACTTTAAAAAATGATTTGTTGAGAAACATCAACATAGTTATAATGAAAAAATCATTATTAAAAGTAAACTTCATTTTCATTTGTTGAGTAATTGTGAAATATGAGAAAATAAGAGAGTAAGAGATGTAAAAGTCAATAAATCGACAAGAGAGCATGTGATTAGGGGGAATAATATATTGGTTATATAAACCTTTTATAAACCAAAAAAACCTATTAAAAGAATTTGTTTAATTATGAATGTTTTATGTTTAATTTTGTTGATAGTGAAGTTTCAATATAATTGATAGTATTTTTTATCTATCAAAACAATTAGTTTTATAACAACCAATAATGGTATTATAGTTTATTAATATTTCTGTATTTCCTCTTTTATTTAATTCCTCATTATAATTATTAAGAAAAAAAAAGCATTAATTAAACAATGAGTTAAATAATAAAAGTATTAAAAAACATACAACAACACAGGAAAGTAAAACAAGTAATGACATTGACTTATGTAGTAATGTAAAATCACATAAATAAAGAAGATAAAAAAAAATAAAAAGAAATAACAAAGTACCAAAATTCTAAAAGAAGTATCTACCACTTCTAAATTAAACCAACTATACAACAAAGAAGACTCTCCCATATTCTTTTTATTCTTTTTTAATAAAACAAAAATAAAAAGTGAACAACAAATTCAAATATAATCCCTCTTTGTCTATTTTTGTTTTTTAATTTTATTTTCAGGTCAAAACAAAAAAAAACAATGAAGAAGAGAAACTTAAAAAAGTAAAATTCAGTCATCTGTTACAATGTTGCAATTGAGAGTTTTTGTGATTGAAGCCGAAAATCTCATGCCAGCAGATTTTTTTTCAAAACAAGCAGATCCTTATGTTAAAGTAACTGTAGGAAAAGAAGTTCATCAAACAACTATTCAGAAAAAAACATTAATCCACAT